TAAAAGAGGTACAGTATAGCAGTTTGCCAATTCCAAGAATTTACCCCTCTTTGTGGAGCCCCCCCCTCCCCTTTTTTTTGGGGGGGTGGGTATTGCAATGATGTTTTTTTGAGGGAAGTATTGCAATGATGTTGTGTAACCACTTAAATGCAATGATAGTATAGTATTATGATTACCATATTGATTTTAATTGTCCCTGTTTTGCATGATTCAGAATTTAGCTGTTGTATTCCTAGTTTGCTACTGCTAGTGACGACCTCTGAAGAATGTTCTGTAAGATTTTCAGTGGTCTGCCTTTTTCTGAATATAGATTTTAATTGTCACTGACATGGAGATGTCTTGCTCGGTGTTCTATTTTCAATCTTTGGTTTCACAATTTTGCATCTATTCCCATTGAATATTGTGTTACTGACGACCTGCACTAGAGGACTCCATTTTTTGTAAACTCCAAACATGTTTCTGTTGAATTCCATCCTACAGTGTTCCTGATTATATCTTGCAATTCCATGGTGTTCTGCTGCTCCTCCAAACTGTAACTATATCAAAGAAAAAACACATGCACACTTTTTTATTAAGTCGTCGAGGTGCAGATTCTACTCATCAGAGATGATGAGTTTTCTTTCTTCTGTGCATAATGAGTTTTAATGGGAAGAATGACTTAATTGTTAACTTTGAATTCGTATTGTAGCCGCAATACAGTGCTTGAAGAGGAAGAGGCTATACGAGCAGCAGATTGAGCAGCTTGGAAATTTCCAGCTCAGGATACATGATCAGGTGGAGGCACAAATAATCTTTTAGTTTGGTTTTCATCTGGGCCTTATCGTGCTTATTAGATTTATCATGGTACTTCACTTACCTTTTCCTTCTATAGATGATTATGCTGGAAGCCGCAAAAGCTACAACAGAGACCGTGGATGCATTGAGAACTGGAGCATCGGCAATGAAAGCTATGCATAAATCAACGTATGTAACATCACACAATACTATGTCTTTAGAATCAATTATCATGCTTTTGAGTTTTTCTTGAATTTTTACAAATGTATCTAACTCATTTATGTCTTCAAGATAATTTGCCAATCGGTTACATCAATCTGAGAAACTTAATCGCCACTCTCTGAACCCTGGATCATCTTATTTTTATTTCAGAGGTTTTCAACTATTGTACTGGTTCTTTACAAATGATGCAACAAAACTTGTCTAGTGATTTAACTTGCAGATGAAAATAGAAGTTGTTGGACTTGCGATAGAATATACTTGGCAGAAATCTTAGGAAGAGTTCACACATCAGAAATGATTATGCCCATTTAAACCTTGATAAGTTTGTTGATTTTTAGGTTGCATATCTGGAAATGTGATAATATGTGACAGCCTTTTCTATTCCTATCCTTTTCATCGTAACAAACTTCAGTACAATCTAGCATGCATGCTAGATTCATAAGTGGTTTATTCTTGTGTACTTTGTCTTTAGCGCACACCTATGGTGGCGAGTCTAATATATATCAGAAGCGATCATTTTTACTTCCTGATTTCTGGGTATGCTATATTGTTTCCTCTTTATTGAAAGAAAAATCATGTTGCTTTAATGCTTTTACAGAAATATTGATGATGTTGATAAAACCATGGATGAAATCAATGACAATATGGAGAACATGAGACAAATTCAGGATCTGTTGTCAGCGCCTATGGGAGCAGCAGCTGATTTTGATGAGGTCTCTCTCTCTCTCCCTCCCTCCCTCCCTCCCTACCTACCTACCTATGGGCACACATGCATGTTTTTGCTTAACCTTTTCTGTTTTGAATAGGATGAACTGGAAGCTGAACTTGCGGATCTGGAGGGGGAGGAGTTGGAGGCAGAGCTGCTTGCACCTACCACAACAGCTCCGTCCACAGCTCCAGTGCGTGTACCTACTGCTCAGCAGTCCACTAGGCCATCTGCCCAGAGTAGCAAAGCTGAAGATGACGAGCTGGCAGCTCTACAAGCAGAAATGGCTATGTAATTATAGGTACTTCTCCATTTTTTGATCTGAGTCAGGTCCATAGTGTTGTTTCACTCTTTAGGAATTAGTAGTTTAACAACAAAACAGCTCACAAGTAGCTCAAGGTGTCAAATCCCCATGACATAAATTATTTTACAGATTACTAAAATCAATGGTTAGTTTCCTCATTGCCATAGGCTGTGTGGCCCCAATCAGTCATCATTAGAAGACTTATACATTGTATATTACAGGCATTGGCATGGTCATCTTGGATTCAGATTCTGTGGATATCTCGGAACTCTGGTATAGTCATGAGGATCGTCCTAGGAAGACCGTCAGAATTCAGAACCACAAATACAAGCTGCATACCAGTCTAACTACTTATGTATCATAGCATGATATGTTAGTGTTTTGTAATGAAATATTTCAGATGGGCTAATAAACATATTTCTACTAATAAATTGGGTTATGCCAGTAATTCAGTATTATGTTCTTCAGGTTTTGCCATATCTATCTCTGTTCTAGTGCAATTCTAATTGATGATGAAACTCTTTACCTACATGTTCGGTTGTTCCTGATGACGAAGTTGGTGCAGCATCTGGATTTTGAGCGCACACTTGTGGGCAAACATGACTTGCAGTGAAAAGACGGAACCTGTATATTCAGTTGTCTATTTTGTGCTGCAGACGGACAATTGTACTGCATCGTCAAAATTTGGCGTGGGCGAAGGAATTGCTAATGTTGCTGAAAATCCACCCATGTGTTGTGAAGTTGTCACTGTACATTTGTGAAAATGTTGCATCTGGTACTGTGGCCGGTTCAGCATCACAATACTGAAATTTGGGGAAATAAGTTCACGGAAAAAGATCTCTCTGATGTAAAGCGCCAAATTCTTTCATCAGACTCCAAGGATATAGGCTTGTAAGGGCAGTTCCAGTGGAATAACTAGGATGATATCTATGACATTATTAGAATGCCAAGTAAGCAAAACGATTATATAACTTAGAATTAAGGAAGAGATAGAAGAAAATGGTTTCTTATATAATAAACTATATTTATATGAGAAATAAGATAGATGTGTGATAGGTAGATGATAGAAGAGAGAAAACAGTGGATTTGTTGAAAAAAGTTTTGTAGAAACGATTCATTAGGAATATAGTTTTATGGTAGTGTCAAAGTATGACAATTATCCTATAGTTTTTTGGTTGGTACTGCCCTAAACCGCTCGGGTCTCTTTGGATGTTGCTAATTTTAGCAAGCTAACTATTAGCACATGCTAGCAACCTTTCATTTAATAATTTGTGCTAATAGATCTATAGATGGTGACATGGTCTATTAGCATATCTAGTTTGGGTACATCCTTCAAATCTTAGGGCATGTACAACTTGCTTGTACAATAAGTTTTTTTCCACCTCACACACATGACTTATATAGTGGTCAATCTGTTTAACTAAATTGTTTAATGCTTTAATTTATCTATGATCAAGTATGAATATGATTTTTATATATCCTTGTTGATACAAAGCAATCAAACATAAATAAGATGAAGATGGTTACCATATTATATAGAACCATCGATATAAAATATATATTTATGTGTAAAGTAATAGAACTACTATTCAAGCAGATGACTATAGAATAACTTATTCTGTGGCCACTTTGAGTTACGATAATTACTATGCTAATTTACGAGATTATAGTAATTTCTTACTAAATGATTTGCTATAACGTTACAGTAAATATCTCTATGTCCTGTAGTAAAACAACTATCGTAAATATGTATTCACTTATCGTAAATTAGTATAAAAATTATAGTAAATAGAGGTGGCTATAAAATGATTTATTTTGTAGCTGTAATTATATAATTATGTTTCTAAAAATCAAATAAAATGTAACAGGATTACATAAGTTTCGTCTAGTTTTTTTTTTGTTTCCGTAGCGCTGGCACTAAATCATAATAGGATTACATTAGCTTACTATAAATTTTTATAACTTTTGAGCTTACACGTGGCCTACATTTTTTTTAAGTTATAGGGCTAAAGCCCCAGTCTTTCAACTATATAGTCAAAAGACGCAAAATCCATTACAGCGTACCGAATGCTTTTCATCCTGAACCAGTCACATAAAAGAAAACAGATCCACCTCTCAGAAACAAAAACAAAAAAATGTCCACCTCACAAAGACCGGAACACCTAAAGAAACTGCATCTCTCAAAGACAGGAACAACTAATGAAACAAAACAACAACTCCAAACTATGGTTAAAAACCTTCCACCCAAAACTGTGAAGCTGGTGACCACTTCTCGCTCCCTTCTTTTAACTTCGATTGCGCCTCTACCTTGGTCTTTCCAAACTTCTTAGAACTAAGACATTATCAGGGATGATCTTGAAGCTCTAGTTGCGCAGCCATAAGTCCCTTCTTGCTGAAATCTTGATCTCCTCCATCCAGAGTTTCGTAAGCTCTTTCTTTCATGGTGGGCACACAATTATTCAGTTATGTAGAAACCCAGCTCATAAGCATCTCCATGCTTTTCCAGCCACTTTTCTAAAACACAAAGTTTATTTCTATCTTCTAAATACTCTAAAGAACTGCAGAGGTAACAATAGTAAGGGTACCATATTTTTAATTTTTTTACCCAAAACTTTCTTATTGCGTAGCCTACAAAAATATTATGACAGAAACAAAATCATTTTTAACTCCTCAACAAAAGCTTTGCTAGCGGTGAAAATTTTACTGTAGTGTCACCTGATATGAGTAAATTGCCATAAATTTGGCAAAAACTATTGAGCACAAAAAATTTCTACAGAAATATAAACTAAAAATTTCACAAAATAACCTATATTATTAAATTAAATAAATATAAAAAACATCAGGCTTCGGCCCGCCGGCGGCGGATACCCACTGCCCACTGGCCCACTGCCATGCCTACATCGGCTCACACAGTCACACAAAGCCCCACATCTCCTTTCTCCCGTCCCGTGCGCTTTTCTCCAGCTTTGCTCCCTCTGGTGCTGTGGGCCCGACATGCAGGCGTGGTTCTCCTCCGGCCCCGGGCCCTCCTCCTCGTCGGCGGCGTCCTCTTCGCAGCCGTCGCTGCTCGCGGAGTGGAACTCCTACGCTGCCGCCCGCTCCGCCGAGGACGCGGGCGATGGCTTCGGGATCGACATCGAGGCTGCCGTCCGCTCCGCCAACGACCGCGTCGCTGGCACCTTCGGCGTGTACGTAAACCCCAGGCTCTTCATCCCCCTCTCTCTTCTCGCCGCTCGGGAAGCGCTCAGTATTCTCCTCCGCCCTGCGCCATAGGATCAGAGCTAGTAGCTTAGTTCTGCTTGCAGCTGTACTGCAAAATTGAAGGGATCGTAGGCAGTTCTCAGATCATCTCTGCGCGGAATGTGATGTATGGGTTTGATTTGAGTTGGTTAGTCCGAAATCGTGAGGAGAGCACGAATAGTTTGCCGCTCCAGAGCTCGAGATAGCATAGACAAGGTGCATGACAAGTTCCTGTTGGGCTCTGAAGGAAGGGATCTTGGCCAACATCTGTTTTGCTTTCCCATGGTAATCTCCAATTGCAAGTGGGGTTCTTGAACCAGCGAGAACAAATTTCTTTAGGGCATGTACATTCATGGCTTTAGCCAATGTCACTGTAGAAATTTGTGTTTTGACAAATATTTCCTGAAGATTCATGTTCAGCTGCTTAAACATTTGAGCACTTCTGGCATTCGGTTTATTTGCTTTGTTAAGCTGGGAAACAGGAAAAGGCCAATATATAGGGTAAAGTAAAGTAAAGGAATATGCATAAAAACTGGCCTTGGCTAGCCTCTTTTTATTTAACCTTCATAAGGACATTTGCTTTGAACCTTGATTTTTTTTTTAACTAATTTGTTCTGCTATTCTTATCTGTCCAGGGTCTCAAAAGGTGTTAAAGGGTTGCCTGGCAGCTTTAAGTCCACAACAAGCAGTGTTCCATCTGGCAGATCTCTCATGTATTTCGGTCTGTTTCTTGCTAGTGGTGTATTCCTAGTTTTCATCGCATTCACGATATTTCTGCCAGTCATGGTGATAATGCCACAAAAGTTTGCAATATGTTTCACGGTGGGATGTGCCTTCATAATTGGATCATTCTTTGCGCTGAAAGGGCCTAAGAATCAGCTCTATCATATGATTTCCAAAGAGGTATAGCGTATTTTGTATTGCAAACTTTTTCGTCTCATACTCTCATAAGCTTTGACTTCTCACTATGAATTATATGAAGTTCTCCGAGACATTTCCTGTACTATATTTGTCCTGTTAATTTTATTTCATTGAACTGGGCATACTATTATTCTTGTCATTCATTGGTCTCATGATGAAGGTTTGCCACCAAAATTTGCCTCACCTAAGATTTGGCAAGCAAAAGTTGACAAAGGTTGGGATTTTTTTTTTTTGCCAAACATTTAGTAAGCCAAATGTGTGATGTTGTCAAGTTTTGGAAGCAAACCATGGCAACCAAAAAGGCAAAAACTTAGCTTGCCTTGATTTTGTCAGCCAAAATTTGGCTATCAACCAATCAGGCCCTAAATTTTCTTGCACAAATACTATTTATAGCTATCTCATCAAGTTTGTATTGCAACGTATTCATATCCTTGAATTATTTATAATTTGATAAACTATCAAGTTCGTGTCCAATTGTCAAACTGTTATGATCATGAACAGAAACACCAGCCCTAGCATGCTGTTAGGCTCACCTGGTCTTCTTATCTTACCGCTACCAGTCATGCGCAATTTTGTGTGGCATAGCCTACACTACTTTTGTCTTGTTAAAAGAATTACACAATGAACTGAGCATATTATTATTCTTGGCATGTAATGATCTCGAAATGAAGAAAAAAAGGGGGCAATATCTAATACGCCACTGAAATTTCTTGTAAAAGTACCATTTAGGTACCTCTCCAGAGATCATTGTACTGTAAAAAGGAATTCACATGACCAAGTTTCTTTGATATCATAGCATATCATATCCTTGGTGTATTGATAATTTGATCCCTTTGATAAACTATCAAGTGTTTGTCCAATTGTGGAACAGTTATGGTGGTTTACAGAAACACAGTCCCTAGCCTGTGGGTAGAGTTACCCAACCTTAACAGAAAGCCAAACCTGTAGATGCATTGACAATGATTGGTACCTCATACTTGATTTGGTAAAGAAATGCTCTATATAGGTCCTGAGTGTGCTTTGTTTTAAGTTAAGAGATATTAGCATGCATGGTACTAAGTTTCTGTTATATTAACATGCAACCGTAGTGAACTTATCCTTGTATTTACCTTGATGTGATTTTGGAGCGTAATATGCATCTGTTAGCTTTATCTTATAACCTGCTTCCACAATTTACAAGATCACTTGCTGACTCTTGGTGTACCATGTTTGTGGATACATTATTAGTTGATGACTTATATCATGAGTTCATATGCTGATCTTTCAATCTTCTGTCAAGAACCACACATTTGTGCTAAATTTCCTGGAATTGATTTCCTTATTTCACAGAGATTACCTTTCACTGTGGGATTTATTGGGAGCATGGTTGCTACCATCTACGTGTCAATGGTGCTTCATAGCTACATACTTTCTGTTTTCTTCTCCGTGCTTCAGGTGATAACATCCTCTTTGCACTTTGCAATCCTCTTGCACAGTGCTATTAGACTTCCTTATGCGACAGGCACCTTCACCCCTTTCAGCATAAGTAGGAGTAGGACCGTCCTCTGTTCTTCCTGCTAGCTGATAGGAACTAACTTTGAAGAGAAACCTTATTCTTTGAATAAGCCATAGAACTCTTATACTCAGTCTGGAGCTTTCTTATTTTCTGGTGACTGTAGTTGTGAGCTTGACCCTGTGATGATGTATAATGGCTTTGAACTAAGAAACTTTTCTCTTATTTTTTCAGGTCCTTTCTCTAGCATATTATGCCATCTCATACTTCCCTGGTGGATCTGCTGGAATGAAGTTTCTATCATCCTCCCTTGTGTCCTCAGTGTTGAGATGCTTTGGGCGATGAGTTCACCTGTTAGTTGCTTTCACCATCTATTTCATCCTGTTACACTTTTGACTTTTGTTCATATTGACTTAGAGATCGATAACAGTGACTGCAGGCAGTGTCTGTCAAGATATTTGCATGTAACTTACCCACCATATTATATAATTATATTACATCTATGAATGCTCCTCCGATACCAAAACCTTTGTTGTTTGGATAGACTTGAACAGCTGTCAAGAAATTTAACTGTGAAAAAGGGTGCAACGCTTAAAGACAATAATCTGCCATTAGGTCATCTGGGAACTCTAGACAGGATTGTTTTTGCATGGCATGGCAAATCATTTTATGTAATGAGTATAACCATGCAATATTTTTTTTTCTTTCTAATTCTGATGCCATCTGTTTGTACTCATTTAGATGACTGTAATCTTTTTGCTTCTGCAGGACTGCATCTTTCCTGTGCTGATTGCAGAATTTCAAGTGAATGATCTAGCAGGGCTGCGTATCGTTATAAATTGTGCAGCTTCATTACTTCCAGAAGTCTGATGCCATTTTGAAGCACTGAACTCAGCTATTTGGTAACTTGATGATTTTGAGGAAAGGATGTTGCTGGACCCTCCCGGCACTTGTCAGGAGAAATAGAATGTAGCCTGCATATTGAATTATTGGGCACACCAGTTTGGTCTAAAGTTACATTGTACAAAATATATCACTAAACACTGGGCACAATCTATGCTCATGGCTGAGGAGCGAATTACATGTATGCTTCATGTTCTCATACTATAAACTGATCCTATCCCTACATTCTCCTTGCGGGGATAAAGTCCACATCGCCACCACGTGTCTAGTTCCCAGTCTTGTTTCTTTCACTGTGAAGAAAGAAAAAGAAATTGCGAGCACGATTTCGTCAGAATTTGAATTTGGGTGGCGTAGTGCGGCTCCCCTATCCGGGAACGGGTGATGGGGATTCCAAGGGCCCATGCGGCCATGAATCACGTATGTCCCCTCACCGTGGACGGTTTGGTTTTATAAAAGGTGACCACTGGAAAAGGCGCTGCTCTCTCTGCGGCCACACGCGTTTGGATTTTGCTATTGCTCCCTTGATCCACATCCACTTCTGAAAAGGGTCACCATGTCTGCCTTTGTGGGGAAATACACAGGTTCTTGCTCGCACTGAATATACTTTTGTATGCCTTTTTAAAAGTCACACGTTGGTGACGCTTCAGTCTTAAAGATTATATTTTTGCATGTAAGAATCTGTTTGTGTAGCAGTTTGTGTCGTGCTGGTACGCGCTGAGTTTTTTTTAACAAATTCTAGGCTGTTTCTAAGAAATTATACTGAAAATTCCTGTTGAATTCCTATGTTTGAAACAAGTCTTTATCTTTAGGTTGAAAAACGCAGTTTCGTCTGTGGATACAGCTGTTTGTACTACTATAAATGAAGACGCATTTTGAATTGAAGTTCTGTATAAAAGAAACTAGTCCTGTCAGTGTAGTCCATCGTTAGATAATAGGCTGAACGTCGATTAATTGAAGAATTCTTTTTTTTTTCTAATGAGTTCTACTTATCAATTAGCCTCTATTAATTTTAATTAAATTATAATTAGTCCATGTTTAGGCTTTGCATCTCAAATAGGGACTAAAAGTTTAGTTTATCCAAACACCCCGCAGGAGTTGCGCGCTCGGCTGTGCCGGCATATAAACAGTGGTAAATAGTATTCATGAACAGGAAGAAACAGTAAGTGTCGGTGTTTTCGGACCACCGACGAGTAAATTTGTATTTGCACGTCTGGCTCGGATGGTGTGCTCGGAGGACACAAGGGTTTATACTGGTTCGGGCGGAACGTCCTTACGTCCAATTTGTTGCTGCTCGTGTTACCGGCACTGGATTTGCAGTAGGGGTTATAAATAGGCGAGAGAGGGGGGATCCCAAGTCTCTGGTGGAGGGAGTGAACGGGTGCTGAGAGCTCGATTGCCGCTCAAGCTGTGTGCTTGTGTCGTGCTCTTATGTTTTTTTTATCTCCTGTCCGGATCCCCCGGTAGGGGCGCCCTGCTTCCTCTTTTATAGACGAAGGAAAAGCGCGGGTTACAGAGGAGGAAAAGGAGAAGAACGAGAGATAGAAGAAGGCTTCCAGGATCGCCGGGTCCTTCTCATTCATGCGGGTCCCACCGATCCTGTAGATGCAATAGAGACGGCTCCATGTCGCGGCCCTGTTCATCACTAGCGCCATACGCAGGCGTCATCTGCCGGTCATGGTGTTCCTTCCGTCCTAGCGGGCGTCGCGGTGAACTGACGCGCCTATCAGCGTCCGTACGAGGATTAGGCAGAACAGTACCGGATGCCCGACACTGCTCTTGATGTGAATCGCTAGGTATGGCCTGTCATGGCCACGGGATACATCGAGGCATGCCAGCTTCTTCCCTGGTGTCAGAGTTTTGACCCAAACCCATACGCTTGGACCTAGAGTGGTTGGCGGCGGTATGGGTCCCCGTCGGACAAGACGGAACCCACGTCCTTGGGGTCGGGCAAGACAGAGCCCGCGACCTTGGGCGAGACGGAACTCGCGGCCTTGGGGTCGAGTGAGACGGAGCACGAGCCCAAGGGGTCGGGCGAGACAAAGCCCGCGGCCTTAAGGTTGGGTGAGACGGAGTCCGCGGCCTTAAGGTCGGGCGAGACGGAGCCCGCACCCGCGGGGTCGGGCGAGACGGAGCCTGCGGCCTTGGGGTCGGGCGAGACGAAGCCCGCGGCCTTGGGGTTGGGCGAGACGGAGCCCGCACCCAAGGGGTCGGGTGAGACGGAGCCCGCACCCAAGGGGTCGGATGAGACCTTTTAATACGTCTCGAGCCATCCGGGGGAGTCAGCGTGGGCACTAGCTTCCTTGCTTTGGGTATCCCTAATAACGATACCCGACAGTAGCCCCGAGCCTGCGGAGGAGTAGAATACTCCTTTGGAGGCTTTTTCGGACGGGAGGATTTTGAGGGCCTTGGCCTTCTTTTTGTAACCCGCGGCATGTCTTGGTAGGATGACGATTCCCTTTTGCCACGGTCGGTCTTCTTGGGGCATCCCTTTCTGCCCCTCGCTCTAAGGGTTCACCGGAGCGGCTGTGAACCCGTCGGTGGGCCAGCCTTCGAACTCCTAGGCCTGAATGGGCCATAGGGGCATTTTTAGTTATGTATCCCTCCTTACCTGCGATGGTTCTTGGCCTATCGACCGGGCAAACCGTCATCCGGCGTGTCCTTTGGGGGTGCGACCAGAGATAGTGTGCCCACGATCTTCGGAGGGAGGTGACGTGACGTGACGTAACGGGCACGTGAATCTAGGCGGACGGTTCGCCTTCTTGCCCCTCTCCGTCTTATAAATAGCGGCCTCCCCCTTCATGTTTCTGCACACCAAAACCACAGCCTTACCTTCTTTGTTTCTCCAGCCGCCGCCGTTCGGATCTGCGGTGCTTGCTAATCCGCCGCCGGAGCCCTAGGTCTGTAGCTTCCGCTTCTCCGCCGCCACCTTTGTTTCTCCATGGCCACCTCCATCCTCCATGGATTCGTGGTACCGCTCTGATGTTACCCATGCGCACATGGAGGGACTCATCAAACGTGGTCTTCTTTGCGGGAGGACCGATGCGGCGGAGTGGCTCGTTCCCGGCCGTGAGGATGCGCTGTCACCGCCCGACGGCTACGTTGTCTCCTTCACACCCTTCCACAAGCATGGACTCATGGTTTCTCCCCACCAGTTCTTTCGGGGTCTGCTGCACCACTATCAGATCGAGCTACAACACTTGAATCCCAAGAGGATCCAGCATATCGCGGTCTTCATCGCGATGTGCGAGGGGTACCTAGGGATCGAGCCCCACTTTGAGCTGTGGATATATTTCTTCTCCATCTCCTTGATCAAGAAGAAGGAGAGAGGGCGGGAGACCCCGGTGCCGATGGGATGCGCGGGCATCCACCTTCGGGGCAACGGGCGGCTGAGTACATGCCCTGTCAGCTCTCTAGATCCAACAAGGGGTGGCACTCGCATTGGTTCTACCTGAAGGATGACCCTGCCACTCCCTTACCTGTCTTCTCCAGGCGTCTGAGCGAAGAGGTTCTGCCGTCATGGCCGTGGGGGCCACCCATCAAGGAGAAGAAGAGGATGCGCGACCTCCTTGTGGCCATCGCGTTCCTGAAGACCCACGGCGTCCGTAGGGCAGCATCGTTGGGGGTATCACGCGAGGAGGGTGGCGCCCCTGATGGCGTGCGTCCTCTCGCTGACGAGATGACGCCCGGTGCGTAGCTCGTTGGGATGATGCTCGCCTAGGGGCTGTTCCACGATAGCGAGGTCGCACAGCACATCAAGGAGACCACGGGGGAGGCTAACACCATGTTCCTGATCTTGGGGCATCCCATGATGTGGCCAAACGTGGGCTTCATCGAGCTACCGGTGGGGTTAGTCTTCTAGGACTCTGTCACGCCGCTGCCAGAGCACGCGACCATGAGGGCGGCGAACCATGCCGCGGATGAACAAAGGAAGAAAAAGAAGGATGACGAGGAGAAGAAACGGTGGTTGAAGCAGCGAGCGAAGCTGCAGCGAGGGAAGCCACGTCAAGGTTCGTGGAAGAAGAGGAGGAAGAAGAAGAGGAGGAGGAGGAGGATGACGGCTCCATGTCGCCCATCCTGTGGGATGATCTAGCCACCGGGGATGAGGACCCGCCTTCGCCGTAGGCGGGGCCCTTCCTATGGCATGCCATGGGGCAGGAGGGGGAGGACGCACCACCAGAGACGGCGGAATTAAAACGCCTGGCCCCGTACGGACCTTCGACGGTGGCCTCGGATCCGGCAGAATCAGGCCACCTCGCCTCGTCTGGGCCTTCGACGGTGGCCCCGGAGCCGACGAAAATAGGTCGCCCCACTCCCTCCGAGCCCTTGGTGGCGCCTCCGGAGTCTGCGAGAGGCGGCTATTCTGACTCATCCGATCCCTCCGTGCCGAGGGAGGGCTCGAAGCGGCAATGTGCCGACGAGGAGCAACCATGGTCGGGCAAGCCGGCCCCAAAACATCCTCGCATGATGGTGTCAGGGTGAGTCAAAAGTTTTTTTGTCCTTTTGTCTTAACGAATTTTTGCTGTGAACTGACTGCCATGTCCCTTGCAGCGTCGGAGGACGTGGGACTCTCCTACGGCTTTCTCTGAAAAAGATCCTCCTCCAGCAAACGCACCAGGAGCCAGCTAGAGCCGCGTCGGTGGTGAGCATGAGTGGCGTCAGGGTGGCCACGGCGTTGACCGGGGAGGCGCAGTCGATGGCTGTTTTCATGGTAGAGTAGGTGGAGGAGGGCGCGTTCGGGTCTCCTGTGGCAAGCGCGGCGCGGCTAGTTTTTTCCTCGACGTCGCAGGCAGAGGAGGCACGGCCGGAACCACCGTCCATGCAGGTGGCCATGTCCGCGGCGGGGCGGATGGAAGGGGGCACACCCGAGGCATCCTTCACGGATGTGGTGACTGGGCAGGCCTCCGTGTCCGCGTCACCCGCCCC